AGTCGAATGCGCCTCGGAAATCCAGGAATACTAGAATTGTGGGTCGTTTATACGTATGGCGTTGTTCTAGCACCTGACGCAGTGTGAAGATTTGGTCAACACAACCCCTACCAGGCCGGAATCCCGCTTGCTGCTCTCGGGTCAGCATCTCACGGGCCACCGTAAGGCGTCGAAGCACAATTGACGCCAACAGTCTCGTTACAACCGGGGTCAAGCTGATCTCCCTGCGGTTAGCACACTCACTACGCGCCCCTTTTTTGAAAATGGGCACTATCACCGATTCTCCCCAGTTGTCTGGGACAGACTCCTTTTCCCAAATGCAAGCAAACAAGTCGGACAGGCGCTGACTGAGGACTTCACCCCCGTCTTTGAACAGTGCAGGTGGGAGGTCATCCGGGCTAGGAGATCGGTGGCACTTGAAAGATTATATGCAGTCGTAAACCTCCGAGGCCGTAGGTGGTTCCACGTTCACCGTCCAGCGTTCTACTTCACCTGTGGGCTCTAGACGAGTGACGGCCGGCGGCCTAGATGGTTGCTGTTTGAAGTATTCAGCCCACGGGTCGAGGCGTTCTTCCTTATTAGAGATGGTCGTTCCATTTCGATGCATGATAGTTTCATTCACAGATGGCTTCTGGGGACCGGTCGCAAGGATCAACTGGAATAATCTTCGGGCATTACCTGCTTTCTGGGCCTCTTCCATTTCTTTGACTTTCTGTGTCCACCATACTTCACGGCCGGATCGGAAGCTCACTTACACTTGACGTCTGGTAACTCTTCGCACCGAGATATGTTCGGGACTAGCCGGAATATTTCTTCGGGTTCAGGTATAGCTACCGTTCAGTCTGATATCCAGTGCTTGGGTGCGCCTGGTTGGGTCGCGCCACAGGCAAAACCCCTGGCACTGCCGAAAGAGAGGGCAATCTCGTCCCAGTATGAGTCCACATCCGATGGTGGAGCGTTTGGAAGAGACTCTAGACTGCCAGACGACATGCCACCCACAAGTTTGGAATAAACATTATCATGATGCTTGTAAGTTCGTCTGACATCCGGATCTTCCAGTCTTCCAGTTGCCAAGCGATTTGTCCGCACCTGACGCGGCCATGAAAAAAAGGGAGAACCGACTTTGGACGGGCGCCTGGTCAGAGTCCACAGAGGTCTCTCAAATCGACCGGCAGTCAGTAATTATTCCGCGCCATTGGTAACTGACGGAAATGTGGGCGATTTGAGCTAATGGCTGGCCTGCCGCTGGAGGACACTAATTGGTCAGTCGGTATCGGCTATTTCGGAAGTTCGTACTGCATAAAAACAGCCTGTGATCAGCACACAGATGGGGCAATCCTTCCCCACTCTCCGTACGTACCGAGTCCAGTCCATGTTGACCTCCCAATTGAGTCTCAGATGCACTAAGCCTGCCCACTTCCGCATTTATATCTCCGGCAACTACCACAATATCTGAGCTTTTATCTCACCGCAGCAGGGCATTCAGGGCGTCGAAAAGCCTCTTTGACGGCGTCGGATCTACTGTTAGTTGGGGCGTAGGCAAACACCATAAATAGACCTCTATCAACTTGCCGCTTGTGAGACTCCTTCACAGACGTTGCCAGATGAACCGCACAGAGGCGACTCTCAACAGGCATCCAGTCGAGTAGGGATGCTTCCGCCCGGTGACTGAGCACATTGCCAACCCCTGCACATCCCACCGCAGCAGCCTCTGGATCACCAGATTTGCGCAGACGGAAGCGAGTGGAGACTGACGGGGCGGTTAACTCAATCACTGTGCTTGCATCTTGAAGTCCCGTTTCTGAGACACAGCACACATCAATGC